TAGATAGTAGATAGATAGATAGATAGATAGATAGATAGATAGATAGATAGATAGATAGATAGATAGATATTTTTTTAATATCCATGATGCTGTAATGATGCTGGAAAATCTACTTTGATCACAACAATAAATGACATTTTACATTATATTCAAATAGAAAACAGTTATTTTAAATTGTAATAATATTTCACAGTATTACTGTTATCTTTCAAAAACATAAAATATGTGACCCTCATTTGTGCATCCAATTTTCATAAGTCATCATGACTCAAATATGTGAGATAGATAGATATAGATACAGATTGTGTTTTATGAAATTTAATGTGAAAACTGATAAGAAAAAATTAAGAAGAAACAGTTATTTCAACAAAAAAAACATCAAATATGAAGTGTCATGCAGGGAATTCTGGGAGTATCAATTTACGGTTTTTCACTTCCAAAAACATATTTTTAACATTATTTTACTGTAAAATTACATTAAATGTAATTACAACTTATTTATGGTCTCTGTCAGTTTCTGTCATGTTTAATATTGTAAGGAAGCGTCACATATTTCCGCGCTTTAACAGTCTCTTCGTATGGCAGATACATCATGGAGTCTGATGGAAACATTCGAACCCTCACGATTAACAAATGCAGTCTGGCAGATGATGTGGCGTATGAATGCGTGGTCAGGACTGATAAATGCTTCACGGAAGTCTTTGTTAAAGGTGTGTGTAAATGAATTAAAACATATATTTTGCATATATCTATCATATATCGTATAACATTTATTAACATGTATCTCACCATCGTAGTTTTCCTTTTTTAAAGTAATGAACTATTCCATTCATCAAAAACATTGTCACAATTACGCTATCGTCTTTTCAAGAAGTCAAGGAAAGAGTCCAGCGTATACAATGCCACATTGTCTTTATCTAATACAATGTTTAAAATCACTTTATCAAATTGCATTACAGAACCACCGGTCACCATCACTAAACTGATTGCCAAGTCGTGGTTGGAGAAAGAGTGGAGTTTGAGATCGAAGGAGCACACGTCATTTGGTAAACAAACTACAGCTTGCATCAAGATATCACTAATGCTTTTGTTCGACACAAAATACTTCAAACTATATAATACATATACATAACACAATTATACATAAGATATATATATAAAATATTTGGCAGCACTATTGTTTTCAACATTGATAATAATCAGAAATGTTTCTTGAGCAGCAAATCAGTATATTAGAAGGATTTCTGAAGGATCATGTGACACTGAAGACTGGAGTAATAATGCTGAAAATTCAGCTTTGATCACAGGAATAAATGATTTTGAAAATGAATATTTTAAATTGTAATAATATTTCACAGTATTACTGTTATCTTTCAAAAACATCAAATATGTGACCCTGGACCACAAAACCAGTCTTAAGTGTCAATTGAGATTAAATAAGCTTTCCATTGATGTATGGTTTGTTAGGATAGGACAATATTTGGCTGAGATACAACTATTTGAAAATCTGGAATCTGAGGGTGCAAAAAAATCTAAATATTGAGAAAATCACCTTTAAAGTTGTCCAAATGAAGTTCTTAGCAATGCATATTACTAATCAAAAAATAAGTTTTGATATATTTACAGTAGGAAATTTGCCAAATATCTGCATGGAACATGATCTTTACTTCATATCCTAATGATTTTTGGCATAAAAGAAAAATCGATAATTCTGACCCATGCAATGTTTTTTTGGCTATTGCTACAAATATCCCCCAGCGACTTAAGACTGCTTTTGTGCTCCAGGGTCACATATATATATGTAGTCATATATAGTCATATATTCACTCGTTTTTATCATGAAACAGAATCAATGTAATGAGATGTATTTAGTAAATTAATAAACATTCAATTTCACCTTTGAACAGAGCAGTTGGATATTACAGCTTGACCTCTTTGTGTTTCTGTGCAGCCAAAGATCATCTGGATGAAAAACAAGATGATAATCGATGACAATCCAGAATAACCAGGGAGTTTTGACTCTAAACATCCGCAAACCCAGCACCTTCGATAGTGGAAAGTACTCTTGCAAGGCTGTGAATGAGCTCGGAGAAGATGAGGTTGGGAAAATAAGAAATTGGGAGAAATTGCTAGTAAATTTCACAAATGATTACAAAGAAACGGCAAGTAATGCATTAAATTAAATGTGAAATTTTGAAGTAGAAATACTGAATTAGTTTTTTTTTTTTTAAACGTACTCCAGTAATCTTTATTTACAACTGTAACAAAGATCTTTTGTTACAGTGTATGTGGAAACATTATGAGGCAAACGGCTATTAATTCCTTAATAAAAATCTAAAAATGTTTATGGGTAGGGTTAGGTGCTAGAAAATATTATTAGCTCAGTATAAAACCCATATAATTCAATAAAAAGTCACAAGCCTGTGTGGGAACAAGAGTACATTGTTTTAAACGCAGTACTTCAGTGAATCACTAGAGGGCGCATGTAGTACAGCGGCGCCTTCAGTGTTTCCTTTATTAAACTGCTGCTGTGTCATGTTTTCTGACACGCTTGTGTCACCAGTTAAACACTATTACCAGGAAAGCATCTGTATAACATTAGAATATGTCATCAGACACCTTCCAGCTGGAAAGTTACTTGACACAGACAAAGAATATGAACAAACACAGTTATGCAAACAAACATCTCTTTAGGCAAATCAGCTTTTAAGTCATTGCCGGAGGAGGATGAGTACATTTAAGGTGGTTTAATGTATATGTGTCATACTGACAGCACACAAGCTTTAGATGCAGGAAAACTCGATGCTTTATGGGTTTCCAACTGTGCAACATGTTACAGGAAGATAATTAAAGCAGGAAAGTCATACTTAATTTCACATTTCTCTTTTTAGTAATGCCACTGGCTGGCATTTCAAATAGCACATTATCATAGTGCTACATTTGAATTCTGTACGCAGAACACATCAAGTAGATATTATGCACATTTTCTGCTCATTCAATCCACTAATCTTCACAATTTACAGTTAGATATCTAGAGCACACTAACTTAACTTCATGTCTAATGCAATAGCACAGATCCGTTAATCTGTTTATAATAATAGTTTACCCAAACTAAAGAAGGCCATTAATGGTGTTGATGATATAAAACATTAACTGAACTGTTTTGATGTCCAAGACAACATGTATTAAAGGAATTTATCACCTAGTATTGATTGAAATAGTGTCAAATTCCACAAAGTCCAGGTCATATTTATTCATATATATATATATATATATATATATGAATAAATATGACCTGGACTTTGTGGAATTTGACACTATTTCAATCAATACTAGGTGATAAATTCCTTTAATACATGTTGTCTTGGACATCAAAACAGTTCAGTTAATGTTTTATATCATCAACACCATTAATGGCCTTCTTTAGTTTGGGTAAACTATTATTATAAACAGATTAACGGATCTGTGCTATTGCATTAGACATGAAGTTAAGTTAGTGTGCTCTAGATATCTAACTGTAAATTGTGAAGATTAGTGGAATGAATGAGCAGAAAATGTGCATAATATCTACTTGATGTGTTCTGCGTACAGAATTCAAATGTAGCACTATGATAATGTGCTATTTGAAATGCCAGCCAGTGGCATTACTAAAAAGAGAAATGTGAAATTAAGTATGGGTGTGTCTCTCTCTCTCTCTCTCTCTCTCTCTCACATACACACACACACACACACACACACAAACACAAACAATATGTATTATATTTAGCCTACTTTTGGGCATTTTTGCATTACTTTCATGGCATTTAAGGACATTTATCTCTAAAATATTTAAATATGTATTATATTTTAGCCTATTTTTGGGCATTTTTACATGTCTGTGATGACATTTAAGGACATTCATCCTTAAAAAATATTTAAATATGTATTATATTTATCCTATTTTGAGGTATCTTTACATTATTTTCATAGCATTTAAGGACATTTATCCCTAGAAATATTAAAATATGTTATATTTAGTCTAATTTAAGGTATGTAAGGTATTTTATGTATTATATTGCGCCTATTTGGGGTATTTTTACATTATTTCATGGTATTTAAGGAAATTTGAAAGCATATTTATCCCTCAAATTCTCATTACAGTAATGCAAAAAAACAACAACAAAAAATACCTTCTCATTATAGTCTTAGCATCAGCATAAATTGAGTACAATAGATACTTCCATGATGTATATCATTATTGTTTTACGAGTAATATAAATACATACACAGCATCTCTTGTCACAGATGCATTCTTTCTCTTCTGAATGCAGCCGCGCCGATCGAGAAGAAGGACTAGGATGAATGAAAGCAGCATTAACAGCAGAGATGAAATGGATGGGAAATTACATTGACTGAGTATGATCCACCATAAACTTATGTTTTAAAGTCATTTGTGTTTGCCAGGCTCTCCGCGTGAATGAAATAACTGACGCCGGCTCTGGTTTTGTAGCTTTTGAAGGCTTTGAATGAACGCTCGGTTGACTGCATTAAGCCCCAGTCAGAAGTATTTTTATCAAAACTATAGCAACCGGTGACGTTGTGCTATGGACAATTATGTATGTTCGAAAACAATGGCTTTAATAGGAACTAAAACACAGATCCTTCCTTTCAACATGTAGTCGACATACAGTAGGCTATATCCTCCTCATAAATGATTTTAGGATCAAACTGGTGATCGAGTACCCAGGTCTTGCTGATCTAAGTACATCATATAAACTGAATGCATACCTTAATGCTGTCTGAAATGATCAAATTGACTTTGCACCCCAAACTGCATTGCATGTGTAGCTTGTATCTGCATTTGTTGTGTTGCAGAATAGAAAATAAACTACTTTTATGACAACTGCACCATCACCGATTTCACACACTGAAACACATAAAGAAGATATTTCACCCATTTTCTGCTCATTCAATCCACTAATCTTCACAATTTACAGTTAGATGTCTAAAGCCCACTAACTAATATTTTCCACAATGTCATAGATCCGTTATCTGTTTATAATATAGAGAGTTTATCCAAATGGAGTTGATTAAAAGACATGGTTTAATTCAATTTTGACCTGTTTTAATGGCCAAGACAACGTGTATTAATATGTGATGATGTGAAAATGAGGATTTTTGTCACCTAGTATTTATTGGGATATGGTTTTTGACAAATGTTGTTGAATCTTACAAAGTCCAGGTCATATTTGTTCTCAAAATTAAAAGTAAAAAATACATATATATATAAAAAATGTATGCACAGACATAAAAACAAAAATGTGTATGTGTGTATTAATTGCATTTAAGGACATTTATCCTTAAAATATTTACATGTGCATTATATTTAGACTATTTTAAGGTATTTTTACATTACTTTCATGACATTTAGGGGCATTTATCCCTAAAAATATTTATATATATATATTATATTTAGCCTATTTTAGGGTATTTTTTACATTACTTTCAAGAAATGTAAGGACATTTATCATTAAATGTTAAAATTGCAAAACAGTTATATATGTATTGCAATGCATCTAAAGACATTTATCCAGAAAATATTTAAATATGTATTATATTTAGCCTATTTTAGGTCCTATTTTCATGATATTTAAGGACAATTAACCTTAAAAATATTTAAATATGTAATATTTGCATAATTATGTATTATATTTAGTCTATGTGTGTGTGTGTGTGTGTGTGTGTGTGTGTGTATTATATATTAAATATAATTTGAATGTTAATAGCCAAATATTGACAGCAAAAAATAATCATAGTAAAAACAAACATTTCAGTTTGACCTGGCCGATTTACTGTATTAATTTGCTTAAATCAATGCATGCAGTTGTGCTCAGCCACTTGGTGCTGCTGAGGCAATGCTGTAAGACCATCACCATAGTTTCTGCAGGTTTCCATGGCAACTGAGCCACTATATATCCGCCGAGATGGAGGGGAGAACAGCAGAGGAGAAGAGAGGAGGGGAGAGGAGAGGAGGGGAGCAGAGAAGTGAGCTCTGGAAAGCAAAGGGGAGGGGAAAGCCAATGAGGGGAGAGTCAGACAGCAGCGAAAAGTAGGGGGAAAAAACACTGGCATGTCTTCGGAGACAATAAATACATGCATGTTAGAAAGAGAGAGAGAGAGAGAGCAAGCGCAGGCTATTTCCAGCCCGTGGTTGTCATGGAAACAGAGGCCTCGCTACTGATGCAGACGTTCAATGCTCACAGATGCTCGGCACTTGAATCTGATTAACAACAACTGGCGATAACTATCCCATATATATCAAATATAACAAGTCAGCACTGCAAAGCCTAAATAAAGACTGACCTTCACCTACAGAGCTTTAGAGACCGGTCAGATGAATACTACACAGTCACTACAGACATCTCTGATTGTATAAAGCATCACAGAGATGCCATTTTACACAAATGTACATGCAGCCAAATGCATCTATCTGTCAGTCAGTAGTGTATGCAGGAAATGAGACGGTGGAAAAATACAGTAACGCATACAGTCAGTCAGCAAGCGGCATCAATGCAGATGATTTCCAAGAGCGAAAGCACTACTATATGCTGATGCTCGATCACTGTTTTCAATCACTTGATTAGCAGCTCCCCCTCACTCCTCTCTGAAGGACAGAGGGTTTCCCACATTTCACAGTTGCTATGGAAACGCTGCAACGAGAACAGGGAGTGTATGCAGGAAGTGTGTGGCGTATAGGTGAGGACGCAGGAAGACCAGGGCGAAACGAAGAATTTCCACATCCAGTTTTTAGTAGCTATTCACTACCGGCTAAAAGTTTGGATTTTTAATGTCACTTCTGCTCACCAAGGCTGCATTTATTTGATTAAAATACAATAAAAACAGTAATATTGTGAAATATTATTACAATTTAAAATAGCTGTTTTCTATGTGAATATCTGTTAAAATGTAATTTATTCCTGTGATCAAAGCTGAATTTTCAGCATCATTACTCCAGTCTTCAGTGTCACATGATCCTTCAGAAAGCATTCTGATATACTGATTTGCTGCTCAAGAAACATTATTATCAAGGTTGAAAACAGTTGTGCTGCACAATATGTTTGTGGAAACCTCTATTTAAAAGTTTGGGGTCAGTAAGATTTAATAAAATAAATAACAATAAAACAGTAAATAATAATAATAAAAACTTCAGCAAGGATGTATTAAATTGATCAAACGTGACAGTGAAGACATTTATAATGCTACAAAAGGTTTCTATTTCAAATAAATTATAAAATAAATGATAAAAAATAAACTTTATATTGATCAAAGAATTATGAAAATAAAAACGTAGCACGTTTTCTAAAAGAACATGAAGCAGCACAACTGTTTTCAACATTGATAATAATCAGAAATGTTTCTTGAGCAGCAAATCTGCATATTAGAATGATTTCTGAAGATCATGTGACACTGAAGACTGAAGTAATGATGCTGAAAATATAAAATTGATCACAGGAATAAATTACATTTTACAATATATTCACATAGAAAACTATTTTAAATTGCAATAATATTTCACAATTTTTCTTGTATTTGTAATTAAATAAATGCAGCCTTGGTAAGCTCAGACTTCTTTCAGAAACATTAAAGAAACGGTAATTATTCCAAACTTTTGACCTGTAATGTACCTGTCATATTCCAGACTCCTTGTTTCTGATTGGTCAGTCACTGCATTCTGCCACCAAATATTCTTAATGACGCTGAACTGTGTATTTCTCCACGCTTCATGTCTCTTGTATCACTCACTTCTTACATGGAATCATTTACAGTAGTTCCTATAGATTTATTTCTTTACGTAGCTGTGTAATGAAGTGGAATGATGTACAGTCGTCCGGTCTTTATCACAAACAAGACCAAATCACCCTGTCAGGTTTGTCTTGCTGTAATGACCGACTGACTGTTGTGTGGCTGTTATGTGTATGAATCAAAATCAAACTGGCTTGATGTAGTTCCCAACTGGTGGGTTGCAAGGTCACGATAACATTTGCTGAATGCAAATAATAAAATGCAACTAACTATAAACATGCACAGTTAGGATAGTATATATATATATATATATATAAAAATTCTATGTTGATTTTAGATTTGGACTTTTTTTTTTTTACATATATTATAAATAATTGAGCTCAGTGTCCAACATATAATCTGGTTATTGAATAAAACATTTAAGAACCACTGATTTAATCCTTCAGAAACTTTAGAATTTAATATCAATAGTGCTGTAAACAATTTTTACCATTTTCCAAACTTCCACCAGACGGTTGCTAAATTAGACCACGCCCCCTCTCCAAAACAGACACAAGTCACGTGCAGACAGTGTTACTGATTGGCTATGACAAAAATGCACAGGCCACGCCCCTTGTTTGCTGTTTACAGAGTCTTAAGCTACAACACTTCAAAAATATCTCTGGTAATGGATTGTTTACAGCACCTTTAATCAAAGTCGAGCATAAAGACACGCAGTCAGAATTCTAAAGCCAAAATGTCCATGTTTTATTGATAAAGAGCATCTGTGTAGCGAATGGCATAGTGCAGAGGCTCACAAGCACAGTTAAGCATTTGCCACAACCTTTGACCCGGAACTGATGGCCAATCAACTAGCTCTCCACAGCCGAACCACACAGCATCAACATAGAAAAGAAAGCAAATTAACTAAAAATACTCAGTACAAATAAATAGGTAAACAGATGAAGATCAAAGCTAAATGGAACAGAGCCGATATCAGCGGTACTGTATTTTTTAATGCAAAAAGATGAACGTTAATGTTTTTTTTTTGAGGTGTGTGTTGTTCTAAAGATAGAGATACAGAGAAATATACGAGTGAATCTCATTAAATTTGCAAAAACCTAACAAAATTGTATTATTTAGCCTATTTTGATCGTTTTTTTCCCCACAATGTGACATTTCATCAGAAAAACTGCAACAAAAGAAAGCATTCTCAAAACTACAAAAAAAAAACAACAACAAAAAAACATTTGTAATATAATGGTACTTTATGCTAATTTATATGAAAAATTATATTATTTTTTTATGTATAATAGTAATTTTGTAATTTATTACAGTAATGACAATCTACAATACAATATGGGAATTACAAACAAAATCAAAAGTAAATTATCCATACAGCACTAGTGGTAAAATTAATTTGATTATCATGAAATGAAATGTCACACAGAAAAAAAACTCTTAATGGTCCAAAAACCAGGATTCTTTTTCTATATGCACAACACAGTTCTGTTCATTTGATGCTGTGGTGAAATATGGCCTGTTTTCATGAGATTCACACATAAATAGAAGGAGAGAGAAATGCAGATAGTTTCCAAAAAACTTCATTTAAATCCTGAAGAACGTGTGTTCTGCTAATGGTAAGTCAAAAAATAGAGAATATTTACATCTTTAGATTATATACATGGCAATACATGAACACATGGTCAGTGTGAGAAGGTGATATAGAGAGAGACGGAGAGAGACCCACCACATTAAGAGTCTACAGTGATGATACCGCTTCATATAATAGTCATCATAATACAATCTTTCTGTGCTGATTCAGAAACAGCTTCAACACGGGTCTTCATCTCACAGCCAGTGAAATCAGCTTAGAGCAGCTTTCGAAAATGGGGAAAGGTTTAGAGGAGTTGTCTCTCAGTAGCCGTAAAGGTAATGTGATTTTGCTGGCCGCAGAGAGGATGCATAGATGAGAATACAACCTGCTACAGGACGACACACATCTGAACGCCGACGTACTGATTCACCGCCTCGTGATCTTGGGCAGGTAAGCTTTTGGCCATTTAACATTTCACAAGTTTGTTTATATATTATAAAAAGAGGTATGGAAAGGCTCAAATGCGAGTCTAATTCAAGCAAAGACTCCATTTGTGGCTTTTAGTCGACGTATGTTAGCTATATGCTGGTGTACTTACAAAAAAATCTCCAAAATGATCAGATATATATGCATTTAAAAACTTCAAACTTTCTCTTTCAGGAAAATGAACCAGTGACTCATCTTGCACACAGTTTTATGTCCAATAAAGTACTCTAGAATGAGAATCTTCCTCACGAAATACCACTAATTAGCAAAAGCATGTAGCAAATCAAGACTCATTTGTAGAAACTGGTTGGTGATGTAGCTTTAGCATTGCATTTGGAATTATATGGATGTGTTCTGCCAAATTCTTTCAATTTGCTAGCATTAAATAGGCTAAAATGTTCAAATATTACATCCGAGATGAATGCAAATATGCCTGTTTGTGTATTTGTTTGTTGATAAGATCACGTACACCAAAAGATGTGCATGTTTCAATTACGTCTGCCGCTTTTCTGGTGTCAAGGACACAAAGCAAGGCAAAGAGAACACGTTCCTCACATTAACTAACCTTTTACTTAAGTGATACTGATGTAATTCTGATCTACCTAGTTCCGCATCAGCAGATGAGGGTCAGGTGCTACGATAAGCTTTTAAGAGTATTTCCTGGCAATGATGTTGTTGCTAAGCAACTCCACTGGATATTCAAACACAATCAGCTTTCATACTGTAGGAAGAAATATGGAAAGCAATAAAAGAAGCAGAACAAATAGTTTGCCCTGTAATTCCATTATGAAGAATAGCAGGGAGACATTTGAAGGACTGGTGGGATACAATGTAAATCTATGTATAGCACTTCAACAAAAAGGTGTCCTCAATCTAGCTTAATAAATGAAGGCAGAAAACAATTGCCCAAATTTGATTCAAGAAAGGTCCCAGCATTTGAAAAATAATCACTTTTAACACCAACAATCTGATAAAAGATGATGAATTGGAAATTAAAAACCGAATAAAGTTTAATGCAGCAATTACAATATTACACGCATGTGTCAGCAATTACAATAATACACGCATGTGTACTCTACTCCAATTAATGGCACATTGCACATTGTTATTATACAACTTCAAAGCCATTCAAGGATGAATAGAACGCTTTATGTAGTCAGCAGTTGTTGTATGGCTCCCACGAAGGACCTGTCAGTCCGCGAATCTCTTCAAAGAAAATACTCTCTGAAAGTGAGGCATACAAGTTTCCCCCAAATGGATGGCTAACGTTAAATTTGAAGTGGCCCAAGAGCGGTATTATTCCCATTCCCTGAACCCTGATTCCCAAACCCAGCGATTTGGTCTATAAACAGTATACTTGAAAATCTTTACATTAGATTACATGTCATATTGCAAAATCTTTCATCAGAAAAATCTGGACATTTTCACAATGTCTTTCATTCTCTCTCTGTTAAAAATCTAAAATTTTCATGTTGGCGAAATCTCCTGTGCTGCGTATCCCAGTATATTTCAAAGCTTTAATACAGCTTATTTTGAATTCAGTCAACATGAACTCAAAATGGACGCTGTTTACTTTAACACACATTCCTTATTGTGCACGAGTCATTGGTGCACATTATGCCAAGTAAAAAAAAAACAAATCTTCAGAAACTTTTATCAAAGTGTAACCTTCTCCGCCTCTGAAACGACTTTCCATTTCGGCTACTGTCACGAATCCCTCTTGACTCAATTCTGGTACGCCCCAATTTTCATGATCCAATCAATTCCTGATGAACAAAGTCAAGTCCCGCCCTGCGTCCATTGAATATCCTGTTTCACATAGAAATACTACAGAAGTTAAATGGGTTGCGAATGGCATTTCATGTTGACTTTAAGTCCAGACACGTTCTGCACACATCAAATGCCAGTGAAATAGCCCTTACACACTGCTGTTACTATTCGATTCAGGTGAAAAGACAAACATATGACACTCAAGATCTCTTTAAATGCAGATATGCACAGAGAGTTTGCACTATGGTCGCTTGTCAGCAGGTACTGTTGTACCTTTGCTGAGGACAGCAGCCAAGTACTCTTATTGTTCACATGGAAAGACTTGTTCTCTCTGCCCTCTCCTCTAGGTATGATGAAAGTGTATGTCACCCTGAAACTGGTGTCTTTTAGAGTTCAGACTTCTGAGCTTATGAACTGATCCTCACTTGTGCTAGATTCAGAATGTCATCATGAAGCAGAGTGAACATGAGCATGTGTTCTGGATCACAGCAGTTTAAGTCTTTATTTTTGAATTAGTCTCAGTTAATACTGTCCCTTACACACACACACACACACATACACACACACACACAGGTACACTACCTACCGAGGTGAGTACGATGAATAATGATGTCAACCTCTGGGAAGTGTAAATGTGTGTATGCTTTTATACAGGTCTGTTAGCTGCTGTACATCGGTGTGTGTACTCGGTGTCGCTGGACTGTGGCAAACCAACACTTAAGTAATTACACTACTTTAATATAGACTATATATTTTTTTATACGCGGACACAACTCATAAGAACTGCAAAAAAGACGCTTGCTTTGGCACATATGTACTCAATAGCGCCATGTCCACTTCATCAGTAAAAGCCTGTCTCTCTGTTCATTGAACGGAATATTCCATAAAATCTGTCGGAAAGGGATGGAGTTCCATAATGTCCAAGACTGCAAAGACTTGACAGTCACACTGGTTTAAAACCAGTCTACTTCCCTTCCTGCGTGTGCATGTTTATGCGAGGGTAATCAGATCTGGGTTTCCTGAACGCTCTCCTTGGAGCCATTCGATAGCAACAGTGGCTCAGTCTGCACATTGGGAACGTGACTAAGGCCTTTCAGAGTTCCATGGAAAGTCATCGCCATTGGGATGGGAATTGGCAGGGGAGGTAAGGTCGAGCCAGGGTTGGAGGGGTCACTGGAAGTCCCTATTTTCATGGTCGAAGCCTGATTTTGGGAGGAAGGGTTGGGTTTGTTGTTGAGCATTCCAGAAGCCATGTTCAAGCCCAGTACGTTGTTGTTAAAGTGGTGCGTTTTGTAGTAGTGGTTCAGGTGGTCCGCTTGCCCAACGCTCGGTAGGGTCATGATCTCAGGATCATGATTCCTCGGACTCTGCCTGCTTCCTCCACCAGATCCTGCACCCGTGTGGATGGTGCTCCCTCCCGTGATGCCACTAGTCCCACCGGCAGATCCGATCTCATCTTCGACGTTGATGATCTCAATGGCGCGTGCCGGGCCGTGGTGTTTGTGCAGTTGGTGCTGCTTGCGAAGCTTGTAGAAGACGACCAGCATCACGGCCGCCATGAAGGTGATGGCCACAAAGCAGCCGATGATGATCTTGGTCGTCTTCATTACGTCCTCGAGACCCGACAGGTTGGCGATGTCCGTGATGGAGACTGTGAAAGGGCGATCGGGTCCACGCGTAGCTCGCGGTGACAAGGAGGACAGCATTGAACCAGTGGGACCTGCTGATGCAGATGCAGCCGTCGGCCCTGGAAAACTAATAAACGTCTCATTGACGAACTGCCTTGCTGAATCGTGGCCATCTTGCCCAGTCTCTACTGTTTCAACGGTAACAGTTGTGAAGTAGCTGTAGCCATTGCCTGGGTCAGATGCAGAGACGTTCAACACAGCAGTTGCTGTGGTGTTGCCAGCAGAGTTGGTGACCATACAGGTGTACGGTCCTGTGTCTTGCATGGTCACATTGGTGAAATTCAGGGTTCCATCATGCAGGACAGAGATCCGGACCTTGTACGCTCCATGGGTCATCAAGGTTCCATTGGGGGTCAACCAATTAACAGAAGTCATGGATGTCCCAGTGCGGCATTTCAGCTCCGCTGCCATTCCCTCTGTCACATTAAGGTCGGTGGGTGGCTCTACAATCACAGGTGCATAGCAGGTGAAGTCTCGCTGTTCGAGGTCACCAATGTACCTGCCCTTAGTACCCGGTGGGGCATGGCAACGTGCACAACAAGTGGAGTTATCAGGAACGGTTTCTTTAAGCCACCAACTCAACCACAGAACGTCACAGTTGCAAACCCAAGGGTTGTGGTTCAGATGGACACGCTCTAACTGCTGCAGTGGAGTGAAGAGATCATGGGGCAACGAATGCAGAGAGTTATGGGACAGATTAAGCTCCTCCAGGTTCTTGAGGTCATCGAAGGCATTCCTCTCAAGGACCGAGATCCGAGAGTGCATGAGCCACAGTTTGCGAAGAGACACAAGGCCTTGGAAAGATCCAGGACGCACCACACCCAGTTGGTTTCCTGACAGCTCCAGTTCCTCTAGCCGCACGAGAGGCGTCAAGTTGGGTACATCCTTAAGACCGCACATGCCCAGATTCAGGAAACGTAGGTTCAGCAACCCCTCGAATGCAGCCTCCGAGATGAAACTGAGTTTGCGCAGCTCACCGAGGTCTAATCGCCGTAGCGACGGCACACGGTGGAAGGCGTACGCTGGGAGTGTCTCTATGGGGTTGTTCCTTAGCCAGAGTTCACGCAGCTTGCTCAGGTACTCAAATGCCTGTGATGGTACCAGTGGCAATCTGTTGTCAAAAAGCTCCAGGGTGATAAGATTGGGAAGGCCATTGAAAGCTCCCACTTCTATCTGACGAATCTGGTTCTTAGACAACTGTAAAATTTCCAGATGATTTAGGTGCTTGAAGGTGTCTGACCTGATCAACTGCAGAAAAAGAGAGAAAGAGAATATAGTAGGTTATAAAAGCAGACATATTCTGGAACCGGGTTACTGCATCTCTACTATTACAGGTTAACCTGTTCTGCAGCAGTTTGAGTGATTAAGATCACTGTATGCCTTTGTGTTAGTATGCATACACACGAAAGTTGCATCTTTGTTATTTTGTTGCTATTTCAGTATGTGCGTATGCATGACCATCTGTCACTCTGTGATCGAGGATGACAGGTTTACAGTGCCTGATGGTTGTAGCACTGGAATGTTTAACTAACAGAGCTCGTTAACAAGTCATTGCAAGTAATAAAAATGTATGTATCGTTTTAAATAGAGATAGCAAAATGGCAGTTCAATGAATATCTTGAGTACTTGCATAATTGCTACTGGTTGAATTGATTGATAAGTTATAGGAGCAGCACACCAGTGAAATGGTTAACGTTCTGCATTCAAATCTGAGCAACTTTTTTAGTGAGATACCTGGAGTAAACTGATCCATAATTAATTGTCTTTCAATTTTAATCTGACCATTTGTCCTTTTTCTAACAATTAAATTAAATTTGATATCGCATGGTCATTTTCATATGTACCTAATTTTGGCTGTAGTTTTTTGGATAGTAGGATGCAGTTTTCATGTCCAGTTCTAGAAGAAAACTCTCTAAACACCTATTTAGGGTATCAAGGAGGTTACCTGTATGGAGTTCTCCTGGAGGTTGAGGTATCGAGTATTGGAAGAGATACTCTGTGGAACTTCATTCAAGCCTTTTCTAGTACAGATCACTCGACTGGCTTGATTGGAACAGCTACAGGGAGTAGGGCAGGCAGGACTGGCTTCAGCCAATATAGGCCCGAGGAGGTGTGGCCACAACAACAGTTGGACCAACCAGATGAGGGGGGAGGGGCTGAAAAGGCCTGTTACCATAGCAGCCTGCATGGCAACTGAGTCATGTCCTGCCCCTTTCCTAAAACAAAAAGGGCAAACAGTGAGTGCCAAAAACCCTCAAAACTTCTTAAATGGAAATGGAAGTGTATTTTCAATAACAACATCCACAAAACAAGAAAGGAAATTAACTTTTTTACGATTAACTTGTGGAATCAGGTATCTTGTGGTATCAAAGTGTAATCCACACAGTTGTCAACAGCACTGGATGCTGCTACGGGAGTCTTCTGCTCGCCATCAGAATCATCACAGTCAGCACTGGCCTTGCTTACTGGAAGAAAATACGGGAGGGGGAACGAGAGAGAAAGAGGACGAGAGAGGTCAAAAACTGCATATATGTACAGCTTATCGTATTTCATATAGCTAAGGGTGTGAGGGTCAGTACATCAGCAACTAAAAACTCTGACCTGTGCAATTAAATGTTGTGACCTCTAGCCCAGCTGGAATATAATTTAATTTCAGTTCATTGCCACAATTTTTTCTGCTTATTTTACTTTTAAACCTTGAGTAGGTAGTCATAATTGTAACACAAAATGCTTACATTTTTTCTCATCCATGGAAAAAAAAAACTTCCAGATTTGGATTGGTCTGGCCATGTCTTTTAATGTTTAATTAAACTAGTGGTTCGGACTGGTTGAAGGCTACAGGTTGTCCTGTCGGAACAATGTTGCACTTTAAAATTATATTTGCAATTAATTTTCTTTATTAAATGTGCACAGATGTGTGGTTCTGTAAACACAAATAGATTATTAGAGAGAAAAATGCAAATATACAACAATACAATATTCACATCGTTACTTGGAAACAGACATTCAAAACAAAGAAATGTGTGCGTGCAACCACTGTACATATGAGCTCTACAACTGAAGAGGTAAACAACTCTCATGTCTGAACACTGATGTTTGCTATAAATAAATACAGAATAATGCTGATATTAAATGACCCATGACGAATGTTGGATGACAGTAATGCAATAGCAGCAGAATTTGTTTGTATAAACAGCCTTACAACTAATCATTTAGGCAGAATGGTGTTTTAGCATATTCTAACAGACGATAAATATGCAAGAATTTAAGTAAATACTGCTTATATTTAAATAAATGCTGCTGATTTTTTTCTGAATTCTCACTTTTTTATTAAATTTTACAAAAAAGAAATAGGTCTAGATTAAGCTTTAAGATGTAAAGTGGGCAGTAAGACCCTTATTATAGGATCATTTTTTCAGAAAAATGATCCTATAATAAGGGTATTACTGCCCATACATCACAATACACACCTTAATTTACATACACCACAATACACTGATTACAATCAAAAATAATCTCATCCTACAAACCCGACAAAGCAAGAAAACCATGTTTGCATGATTTGAAATTAATCCGTGTTTCCAGTTTTGATGTTATAATGCAAACATTTGGGAACACAAGTAAAGGTTTTTAAATGCAAAGCAAATTTGGGGCAATTGGTGTAGGTGTACAGATCGCTTTTTTCCTTTAAACTATGACATTTATCTAATTAAATAATAATAATAAATAAATACATAATAATAAAAACACCCTTTAGGGCACACGACCGTACGCAAAATCGGTCTAAAATTGTGCACAAACACATCCAACAAACCCCAGGCACAAGAAACTCATATTTACATGAGATTTGAAATGATCAGGGCTGCGTTTCCCAAAAGCATAAGCCTATAGTAGAGCCATTGCCACCAAATGGTCTCTACGATCAACTTAGCTTACGATGCTTTTGAGAAAGGCAGCCCAGGTTTTTATCCATTTTGACATCAAAGCGTAAACGGGCATGCACAGAACGCACGCGCACACTGAATAAGCCTTTAGAACACCGATAAAGGGTATTTTACATGCAGATCAAGGTAATGAGAAAAACTCATTCCAAACGCTTTTGTTTAAAGTGTATATGACCTTTAGCTGAAAACAGAAGCCAGCGTAGGTTTGTGCATGTAAACGCGCTCATTGTTTTATCATCAGGAATAATCTATTTCAAGCTAACACAAAGAAAATCAAACAGAATTCAAAATAAGATCTTAATATTGCATTGTCTCGTAATACGACTTTCACACGCAGGCGCATCTCGTTTGTGTGTGTGTGTGTGTGTGTGTGTGTGTCAGGTGCGGTGGTGCAGCTTCACTGTAACCATGACAACGCTAAATTGATTTTCAGATGCTGGGTGTCGGAATCCGGTTGGGTGGCGGCGCTCTGTTTGCACTACGGCTTCGTTAAAACCAGCCACAGGAAAGAGAACGAGTCGAATTCACAAATTAAACATCTATTTCATAAGCCATTATATTGATTATTAATTAACCTTCATAAGACATCAGATGCGGCGATCTCCATCATGACAGACAGAGTCCGCAGTGAGTCTGTTGCTCTTATATGAGAGAAAATCGGTGCATCTGAATGCGTTAGTGACTGCGGTGTCTTAACGGAGACCGTCGTACGAGCGTGAAATACACAAGTGAGGCCCGGACACACACAGGCGCGCGCGCTCCCTCGCTCGAAGACGCGCAACAAAATGGCACACGGGTGTCCGTGTAACTCACGGATAATGAGAAAGAAAAATGCAAATCAAGCCAAGCCGTTATTTACATCGCCACAATTCCAAACGGCCAGATTCATTTCTATAAATAAATATTGAAATAAATAAATAAATAAAAAAACGGAATAGCTAAATAAATAAATAAATAAAACGAACGCCGAATGAAAGATCTTACCGTTCTCCTCTCATGCATCCATCACATCATCCGGATCCTCTTCTAATGAATCATGCACATCATAACCATGTGGAAACTTATTAAACTTATTAAATCAAATCAAAACGGGCGCCCGTCAATCATTCATTCAGCATGAACTATAATCAAATCCATTTCACAGCATTTGATATCGTGCATCTGATCAAATGTATATCGTACCCTTTCCTCTTTCCTCGACGAATCTTCTTCTAATGATTTTCCCCCCGTTGATTCGGTGTCTCTCACAGATCCGGAGCGCGTCAGTGCGCGCGGACACGGTGAATAAGGGTGAATATATAGTTAACAGATCATACCACCGCTGGAACAAAAACGATGCAATCGCTCGCTGTAAAGTATGAAAATCGAATGTAATTTGATTATCCGGGGTATGAGGCGTACAAACCTACTGGCGCATTTCTGTAAGTGTATGCAGGCAGCTCGTGCGCGTCGTGGCCGTACAGAGGGACGGATGCTGCACCCAGCGCAACATCTTACGTAAAGTCCGTAGCGACGGTCCTGAATACAGCGACCAGCTGAAAAACGCACCACTGAGACATGCACAAAACACACCTGCTGTAGCCTGTTTCCATACAGCCATGCATTCAGACATCAATCCAATCATCAGTCCATGCATTCATGCATCCATCCTGTTTCATCTGCAGGCACGACTGTGTAGGACGACTGTCAGATCATTTAGGCTTTGAGATTCTAATTATACACTACTGAAGCTTAACATATATATTTTAAAATGGCAAAGCTGTTTGTCTAAAGCAGTGTTTCAGAGCTGCTTTTGCTTTGTATTACATCATGAAATAAATAATCAAACACTGAAATTTGTTAGTATTACCTTGAACTGCATAAGCAAATATAAATGATTTAATAATGACACAAACCATGTTTGTGCTCACTGCAAGTGAACCTGGGTTTAATGTCATCTGGGTCATAATTTCTTGTAAATTCAGTTCAGTTACGTTTCTTGTTAAATCAGGTTGATTCTACCTAATAACAGCTAATATCTGCATCAAAACAGTGTTTTTTCATCTTATGAATGATTATATATTTATTACCATTTTATGCTTAATTGTTAGAATTGTTTTTACATTGCTGTCTGCAATCCTATTATATTTTACATGACATTTATACATTTGGCAGATTCTTTCATCTAAAGCAACCTGCATTGCATTTCAAGGCGTACAATGTTTTTCATGCATTTCCTGAGAATCGAACCCATGACCTTGATGTTGCAAGCACCATGCTGTACTGTTTGTTAGAACAGATGTGCAACCTATTAATACTGTGCCAAGTGTGACCCGGCCATTTAATTTTGTGGACTAAATTAATTTTGTGATCCAGACAGTCCCTTTCATGGGCGAAATAAATATCACTTTCATGAGGTGAATATTTAGTTCACAAAATGGCTTTAGTAAGTAACAGCATTTTGACATTAAAAATACAAATGATTTCATCCCATAACGATCCACCATTTGAAAAGCACTTATCTAAATTATGTTTAAATAGCTAGTTTTGTAACTTGAGCCTCATATAAACAACATTTATGTTTGTTAATTGCCACCATTGTTAAGTGTTGATATCTATGCGTTTGTAATAGACAACTCACACTAAATGTTTGCCAGAGATGACAACCATGATGCAGTAAGTCATTTAAGTTGTTTGTTCGAAGTTCAGCTCCAGGGCTTTCCATTAGGGGTCTGTGAAAGCCCTGCCTGTGGACAGACATAAAACAGGTAATTTTCTTTGAATATATATATGTATATACATATCCTGTGTATTTCTAAACATGTCACATGAATAGTCAGGCCATCCAAGATGTAGATGAGTTTGTTTCTTCATCAGATTTGGAGAAATTTAGCACTACATCACTTGCTCACCAATGGATCCTCAGCAGTGAATGGGCGATCCAAGTAATCCACACCACTCCAGTCCATCAGTTAACATCTTGAGAAGTGAGAATTTGTGTGTTTGTAAGAAACAAATGCATTGTTAAGATGTTATTAACTTCAAACCATTGCTTCCAGCTAAAATACAAGTCCTCTATCCATAATACTGCTTCTTCCAGTGAAAAAGCCATCTTGTCTGAATCAGGAGAGAAATCTGTACAGATCAAGCACCATTTACAAGCAAAACAGTTCTTAAGAAATATGTGTGGATTTTGATGTGAGAGACAACAGTAGATCGATTTTTTTCACTGGAGGAAGCGTTATAATGGACTGGTATTTTAGCCAGAAATGATGGTTTGAAGTCAAAAAACATCTTGATGGATTTGTTTCTTATAAATACGCACCTTTCCACTTCACTTCACAATGTCACTTCAAGACATTAACTGCTGGACTGGAGTAGTGTGGATAACTTGCGGATTATTGTGATGTTTTTATCAGCTGTTTGGACTCTCATTCTGACGGCACCCATTCACTGCAGAGCATCCATTGGTGAGCAAGTGACTCAATGTTACATTTCTCCAAATCTGATGAAGAAACAAACTCATCTACATCTTGGATGGCCTGAGGTTGAGTAAATTTTAAACAAATGGACATTTTTGGGTGAACTATTCCTTTAAACATCATATGAGGGCATAAGTTATTAATGAAAGCTATTTTTTTAAACATTACCAGGAAAGCTAATGCAAAATGCATCATTTGAATTCACATAGGGAGGCCTACAGCATGCACAAGTACCTAACCCGATGCTTATCTACTGTATGCAAGCCTGGTTTCAAGCACCAATTTATTTCAAAATGCACCACAATTTCAGTTTCAGCTTTTTTTTTAAAGTGTCTTTGCGGTCCCTAGTAAAGGTCGATGACCGCTAGTAATGCTGATTCTCTCATTAAAGGAATAAATGAATAAACAGAGCGTCTTAAACAGATCCAGCTGTCGTAATGGTGCTTGGCCTGCATGTTGAACATGCTTGTGGTAGTTAGTTCATATTAGCAGCCCTGTTTTATCTCTCCTCTGGTTCTGTGTTGAACTCTGTCTGCGTCCCACACACTTGTGTCCTCCAGTATGTGTTATGACTTAATGATAAGCCATCTACCTCTCTCTCTCTCTCTCTCTCTTTCTCTCCATCCCCCTCCCATTAAGAATCCAGTCACACAGTGGTGCAGTGGATGTTCTGTCTTCCCTCAGCTCACTCGTTCCGTACAACACGCACAGACGCGCGCACACAAATATAAACAAACAATAAACGACTCCCCAGTCTATATCACTCCCTCTCTTAAGGCCAACATCAGCTGTGTCATCAGTTTTGTCGATGCCTTATTCGCATCTGTCGTGCGGTGGGTTTCTGCGCTCACAATGTCACGGCGGCGCGGATGTGATCCTCAGTCTTTCCGCGTGTTCATTTCTCACCCGGTGCGTTTGTGCGTCAATATCTCGAGGCGTATTGTGTACGTTTTCTTCCCACCGAGGGTGCTGATGTGGGTTTTCATGTATGTATGTGTGCGCGAGCATGTGGAGGACTGTGTTTGTGTGTTGTGAATGAGTTCTCTGTATCTGCCTCTCCGAAACGCGATGTGCTTCTGTTACTAATACTGACGCGATGGCCTGCTACATATGGACATGTTTAGCTTAGCTTGACATTGATATTATTAACCATTATAATCTCAAGAACTTGTTTTGCACAAACCATTAAGATCTTATTTTTGTGAAAGTTACATCAAAACTGAATTCAAACCAGTTTGTTCGTTGTGTCCCAGACTTGCTTGTCCTATGCAAGATAAGAATTAATGTATCCTAAATCATAGTACGTTGAAAACAATGTCAAAATGTACTATTTTTGGTTTGAAATAGTTCTAAAGAAATTTAACATGCAGGTATACATCACGGAGACGTCTATTTGATGTCTGCATTTACATCTACAAGACGTATTTTTTAGAGTGTTTGCTCATCTGGGATACGTCTATAGGATGTTTCCTATCAGATGTCAAATAGACGTTTAGAAGATGTCTTTAAGATGTTTATGATTTAGAATGAATGTAAAGTGGGAAGATTTGCATAACGCCGCCCAAATGTTCACGCAAAGAAAGAAGGCGTAACTTTTATTCTCGCTGTAGGTTTGTTGTTTCTGGCCAATCACAACACACCTCGCTTTTCAGACCGATGAGCTTTGTAAAAATCGACGCATTTCAAAAAGGCGGGGCATAGAGGAGAAACAATAATGTACAGTATGTGGAAAATAATGTGTTTTTTTTTACTTTAAACCGCATAAACACATTTCATTACACCAAATACACAAAATAATGTTCTTTTTAGCAGCATCATATGACCCCTTTAACAGACATCTTGCAGACCTACATGTGCTATCTGGGATAGTAGGCCTACTTAAAGGCACAATATGTAATTTTCGCCGCTAGAGGGCACGTATTCAAAATGAACAAAGAGGCAAAGGCGTAGTTTGATGACACCTTGACTGAGTGTGGAATCGTGGGAGTTGTCATTTTCATCCCCACAGCCGATGCAATCCAACTGGACTCAGGCAGAAATCATGTTCATGGATGAGCTAATGATTTATTAACTTAGTAGAAAAATCAGAGGGGTTATGACGTCATTAGCTGGCGACACAATGACACTATGGAAACGGTCCGTGTCACTAGTTAAAGGGGTCATATGATGCTACTAAAAAGAACATTATTTGGTATAATGAAATGTGTTTACGCGGTTTAAGGTTAAAAAAACACATTATTTTCCACATACTGTACATTATTGTTTCTCCTCTATGCCCCCGCCTTTCGAAATGCATCGATTTTTACAAAGCTCATCGGTCTGAAAAAG